CCTGTAATGGGGAATTGTTGGAGTCTATAATTAAGGATGGTATAACTGAGCCTCAAGTATTCAGTTAATCCGGGAGAGCCAGCATGGATTCATGATGTGTAGGTCATGCCTGACAAACCCCATTGAATTTTTTGAAGAGGTGACTTGGATAGTGAACAAGCAAATATCTGCATGTTGTTTACGTGGACTTTAAGAAGGCATTTGATCAAGTCCTACATAAGAGACTGTAAATACCTATGGAATTGAGGGCAAATTACTGACATGGCTAGGAAGTTAGTTGAGTGGCAGACAACAGAAAGGAAGAATAATGAGAAGGTACTCGAATTAGTAGGATGTGACCAGTAGTGTCCCAGAAGTGGGGGAGAAAAGAAAGAAACAAAAAACTGTAGCTGCTGGAAAGGGGAAACAAAAACAAAAATTGCTGAAGAACTCTCAACCAGGAGACAAAGTAAAAGGTGTGACAAAGAGTAACTGGACTCAAAACGTTAATTCTACTTTCTCTCTGCAGACGCTACCAGATCTCATCAGTTTCTCCAGCAGTTTCTGTTTTGAAGCCACTTAAGGATCTGTGTTAGGAACTCAATTATTCATATTATTTATTAATTACTTGGATAATGGCACAGAAAGCCATATATCAGGTTTGCTGATGACAAAGTTAGATGGCATTGTAGACAGTGTAGATAGCATAAAATTACAGAGGGCTATTGATAGTCTAAGTGAATGGGCAAAATTGTGGCAGATAGAATTCAATATAAGCAAGTGTGAGGTTATTCATTTTGGACTGGAAAAGAATAAATCATAGGACTTTCTAGATAGAATGAAGTTAAATACAGTGGATGTTCAAAGAGACTTTGTAGGAAGGCAGGTTCAGGTGCATGGATCTTTAAAATGTCATGAACGTGCGCAGAAAATAATCAGGAAAGTTAATGGTATGCTGGCCTTTATATCTAGAGAACGGGAGTATAAGGATGCAGAAGTTATGCTGCATTTATACAAAACCCTTGTTAGACCCCACTTGGAGTATTGTGAGCAGATCTGGGCAACGGGTTAAGTTATGAGGATTATACAAATTGGTCTGTTTTCTCTAGAACGTAAAAGGTTAAGGAATAATCTGATTGAAGCCATCAAGATATTAACAGGAAAAAACAGGCTAAATAAAAATAAACTATTTCCGCTGGTTAAGGATTGTAGAACTGGGGGCACAGTGTGAGAATTAGGACCACACCGTGCAGGAGGCACTTCTACACACACAGGATAGTAGATGTTTGCAACTCTGTTTCCCATGCAGCAGATGCTGCATCAGTTAATTTTAAATCTGGATATATAAATATTTGTTAAGAAAAGGTATTAAGAGATATATGCCAAAGGCAGGTATATGGAGCTAGGCTACGGATCAGCCATGATCTCACTGAAAGGTCAAACAGGCTCGAGGTGCTAAATAGCCTACTGTTGTTCCTATGTTCCTGTTACTAAAATAAGCAATGGTTAAGTCATCAATGGTTTTCAGTTTTGGCCGTCCTGTCTAGAAAAAATGTAAAAGACGATAGCTTTACCAAGTTGATCCCAAAGATTGGAAACTAAAATTGAGAGCCAAGCTCTGACTTTTCCTCATTGTAGGCTAAGAGAAATTTAGATACAGTTTTTAAACAAATTTTGAATGATTTCAATAGGGTGAACAGGGAAAGGTTATTTCCCCTACCCATAGCATCATTCACAAGGGATCATCAATTTAAAGTAGTATAGGCCCAAAACGTCAGCCTTCCTGCTCCTCTGATGCTGCTTGGCCTGCTGTGTTCATCCAGCTCTACACCTTGATATCTCAGATTCTCCAGCATCTGCAGTTCCTACTATCTCTGAGTATAATGGAGACGGCTTTACTCAAAGTTGATGAACACAGAATCCTTTTACCAGTCAAGACCAAGGTTGCACCTTTTCAGGAAGTCACAGATAAATGTGTTTTAGTGAGAATTGGCACATATAGCTGAATGCTGTAAACTTGAGTCATCTTATAGGGTAAGTCATCTTTAGTATTTTGGGTTATCTGTTGATATTATTGTCCTGTTCTATAGGTCACGTGCCTGACATGCAACTACAAATCCAACACCATTGAACCATTTTGGGATCTTTCACTGGAGTTTCCAGAGCGTTATCATTGTCTTCAGAAGGGTGCTACTCAGCTTAAAGAATGCACTCTGACGGAAATGCTGGCAAAGTTTACAGAAACAGAGGCTTTGGAAGGGAGGATTTACGCTTGCGACCAGTGCAACAGTAAGCAATGCCTCTTTTAAGTGAGCTTTCCTCTCAGATGAGCACTGTAACAATGGTTATCCAGACTTGAAGTACTTGAGACCTTGGCACCTGTAGAATGGGTAGTTTCCTATATGTGCCTAAACAGTAAATTAATCCTTTCAATAACCCCTCCCCATTCAGATATGTGATAACACACTTCTGAAGCAGGTGGGACTTGATCCAGGACAACAAATATTGACAGACTATCTGCATTCAATCCTGTCCTGGCTGTATGTTTACAGAAGCAATTTTAATTGCTAAATGGAAGCCAAGAGCAGGAAATCTGATTTCCCTGCGTAAAGGCTTCTGACATCAATTGTAGTGCCCATACAGAGATGGCAAGTCTTCACAAGGACAGGGATCATCCCTGCAGCCTTTCTGGTCTCTATAGCTATTCACTGCCTCAACAAACGAAAGCATTGGACGAAATCTTAAACTGTAGCCGCATGATGGGACCTTAAGATAACAAACAGAACCATACTTATTTAATAAGTATTTTTCTAGTTACATTGTTCTCAATTACCGTTAGAATACTGCCTTTTGATCATTTGCATTGAAGGATTAGTGTACTCAGCGCACTGTTTGGCCTAGACATGCACCAACCAATAAACCATTCCTTGCCATACAACAAACTTAAGCTGTGAACAGTGATGTATACCAGTGCATCTGATCTTAAAAGGGCTGAATAGTTAATACTTTTAACTGAAAGTATGATTATTGATATTAATGAAACAGAAACAAAGAAAAGGTTCAAGTGATAAAGCAAAAGCCAAGAGCAGTTGGGCCAAATGTCCTGTTTCTGTGCTATGAATTTTATGTAATTCTGGCTAATTATCTCTCAGGTAAACGACGAAAATCCTCACCAAAACCTCTCGTCCTGACAGAAGCTCAAAAACAACTAATGATATACAGACTACCTCAGGTCCTCCGTCTGCACCTTAAAAGATTCAGGTAAGATGAATTTGCTGCAGCTGCAAAAGATTGTGTTTAGTTGCACACTCTATTAATATTTTAGTTGTACCTTTGTCCTTTCAGTGCTCATAGTTTTGGTATTAGCTATAGCTCAATATTTGACACTCTTGAATTAGACGTCGTTGTGTTTAAGTCCTACCCCGGAAACTTCAGCACAGATCTCTGGGCAAGCATTCCACTGTCAAGTATTGCTGAGGGAGTACTGCACTGTCAGAAGTGCAATCTTTCAGATTAAATTTAAACTAAGGTGCTGTCTGCTCTGTTGGCTATCCGAAAAGGATTCCATGGGACTATTTCAAAGATGACTAGCGAGGTTATCCCTGCTGTCTTGACCAGTAGGTATCGCTTATTTGACACCACTGAGAATAAATTATCTATCAGTTATTATTCTTGCTGTTTGTGGGAGTTGCTAGCTAAAGGTTGGGTGCCACTTTCTCTCCATCGCATCAATTATTACATTTCAAAAGGATACTTCATTGACTGGAAGGCATGAAATACGAGTTTTTCATTCTTCTTTCCATGAAAAGAACTTCATTTTAATTAGAATCTGAGCTGAAGTGTAGATAGCATATTTGAGCCATCAGTGTGAATATTCTGGTTGCAGTCTAGTTTCTGCAAGTATAGGTATGGTATAGATCGGATAAGTATGACAATATCTGTGAACCTTGGATTACCAGGGATGTTATGACCTTGGTCAGAAAGAAAAAGGAAGCAAACGTAAGGTCTAGGAGGATGCGAACTGATGAAACCCTTGAAGTATGTATGGAAAGTAGCAAAGAACTTGAACAAGGAAATAGAAGGGCTAAAAGGGGTCATGAAAAGTCATTAGCAAATAGGATTACGGAGATTTCTAAGGCTTTTTACACATATGTACAAAGCAGGAGGATAGCCAGGGAAAGGGTTGGTGTACTAAAGGACAAAGGAGGGAATCTATGTGTGGCGCCAGAAGAGGTGGTTGAGGTCCTAAACAAATACTTTGTGTCGGTATTCACCAAAGAGAAGGAATTGGTGGAGGATAATCTCAAGGAAGGGAGTGTTGAGTTTCTGAGCCAAGTTGCTTTTAAAAACAAAGAGGTGTTGTCCATCTTAAGGTAGGTAAGTCCCTGGGTCCTGATGGGATCTGTCCCAGGATATTGAGGGAGGCAAGAGAACAAATTGCTGGAGCACTGACAGACATCTTTATATCCTCTTTGGCCACAGGTGAGGTCCTAGAGGAGTGGAGAATAGCCAGTGTTGTCCCATTTGTTTAAGAAGGGTAGCAGGGATAATCCTGGAAATTATAGACCTGTGAGTCTCACGTCAGTGGTAGGGAAATTATTGGAAAATATTCTCGGGGACAAGATCTATATGCATTTAGAAGCGAATAGACTAATTAGTAATAGCATGGTTTTGTGCGGGGGAGGTCGTGCCTCACAAATTTGATCGAGTTTTTTGAGGAGGTGCTGAAGATGATTGAGGGAAAAGTGGTTGATGTTGTCTGCATGGACTTCAGTAAAGCCTTTGACAAAGCTTTTCATGGCAGACTGGTACAAAAGGTGAAGTCACATGGTATCGGGGTGAGCTGGCAAGATGGATACAGAACTGGCCCAGTCATAGAAAATAGAGGGTAGCAGTGGAAGGATGCTTTTTGGAATGGAAGGTTGTGACTAGCGGTGTTCCACAGAGATCAGTGCTGGGACCTGTGCTATTCGTAGTCTACGTAAGTGATTTGGAAGAAAATGTAGCTGGTCTAATTCCTAAGTTTGTGAATGATACTAAGACTGGTGGAGTTGTGGATAGTGAGGAGGATTGTCAGAGGATACAGCAGGGTATAGATCAGTTGGAGGCATGGGCAGAAAAATGGCAGATCCAGTTTAATCCTGACAAATGTGAGGTGATGCGTTTTGGAGGGTCAAGTACAGGTGGAAATTATTCAGTGAATGGCAGAACCCTTAGGAGTATTGATATGCAGAGGGATCTGGGTATACAGGTCCACAGATCACTGAAGACGGCAGCGCAGGTAGATAAGGTAGTAAAAAAGGCTGATTGAAAGGGGCAGTGAGTATAAAGATAGACAGGTTATGCTGTAGCTTTATAGAACTTCAGTTAGACCACACATGGAATATTGTGTACAGTTCTGGTCAGCACACTACCGGAAGGATGTGGATGCTTTGGAGAGCGTACAGAAAAGGTTTACCAGGATGCTGCCTGGTATGGGGGTTTTTAGCTATGAAGAAATGTTGGATAGACAGGGTTTTTTTTTCATTGGAATGCATGAGGTTGAGGGGTGACCTAATAGGCATTTATAAGATTGTGAATGGCATGGATAGGTGGAAAGTACAATGCTTTTTCCCAGGTGGAGGGATCAATTACTGGGGGGCATAGGTTCAAAGTGTGAGGGGGTGAAGTTTAAAAGAGATGTGCGAGGCAAGTTTTTCACATAAAGCGTGGTGAGTGCCTGGAACGCATTGCCAGAGAAGGTGGTGGAAGCAGACACCATACCAGCATTCAAGAAGCACTTGGACGAATACATGAATAGAAAGGGAATAGAGGGATACGGATCCTGTAAGTGAACCATTTTAGTCAGGAAGGGCAAAATGTATTGGTGCAGGCTTGGAGGGCTGAAGGACCTGTTCCAGTGCTGTATTGTTTTTTGTTCTTTCTTTCTGCTGAATATTGTCTGGTTTGATTCTTTTTTAATACACATTTCTAACAAATCTTTTCATTCCTCTTAAATGATCATTGTATAAATATGGAAGCCACTTGGAAACCCATAAACTAAATGTATTTAATACTTTATTCTATCAATATGATAAGCTAACCTTGAACTGAAGTTACCACAGAGTGGAACAAGTTGGAAGATCCTAAGGGAATTGCTGTATCCTCCACCATTGGTGAAAAGCAGGTGACAGCATTTGTACTGTGTATGAGAAGGTTAAATTCCTCATGTTAGTAACCATTTGTTGCTGGAGCACTGAAGCAGCAAAACATTGTTTATTTATTGATTGATTACTTTAGGTGTGACAGTGGATATTAAATGCATATTGCATGAATCGTCCATTTCCGCAAGTGTTCAGACTTGGCCAAGCAGAGAACATATCCTCACAGCATCCTTTCCTGGCCTGTCTTTAATTTATCATGCTATTTGTCTGACCTAACTTAGCGTATTCACTACTGAAATTGACAATCTTGCCTTTGCAACTTGACAATTTCAGTGCTGTCCTGACCAGCCTCCTAACTTCTGACTTGCATACATTTATGCTCATCCATAATGCTGCGTGTATCTTAAGTTGCTCTGGATGTCATTACCTTTACTTCTGACCACCTGGTCTGACACTGCCTTGATTTTTGAAATTCTCCTCCCTCTACTTAGCCTCTTCCAGGCCTACAAATCTTTTACATTTCTGTGCTTTTCCAATTCTAAATTCAATTTGTAAAAACCCAGCTGTTTGATCAAGTTTTTGGCCATATGTCTTGTTCTCTCCAGTGACTCAGTGTCAGAAATATTTTGATATCACTCTTATTTAGCCTTGGAAAGACTTACTGCATTCAATGTGGTACATAAATATCCAACAACAACAATTTACATGAGGGGAACAGCTTGGGACTTCCTTTGATTCTTCTTTTCCTAACCAAATCTGTCCCATAAACAGGAAGCTGCTATATGGCATTGCAGTGCTGGCACAGAATTTTGCTCTAGGCTCCGCACTGTGTATTGGAGCTCTATTATACTGCCCTGACAGCAACTGATGTTTTCACCTTAACCTATTTGAATTAATTCTCTGTAGTTAGACAACATGACATCTTTCATCCACTATATTCCCTCACTTGTACCAATTGATGCATTTGTTCTGTTTGCCTAATCTTTACCCTGTTAAATAAATCACCAGTGTATAAATTCCCGGCTCTGTATATTTTCCTCTTTTTTTTTCCGAATCTTCCTCCTGCAAGTGTTTATCCTTCTGTGGTCATAGTAAATGGATCCAGAGTTCCTTCCAAGCTGTGCAGCATTGCAGACAGTAACAATCAAGAGTGTGATACACAGTGGGCAAACAGGTAGCACATGAGTTAGGTCTGTGCATGGTCCTGCAGCAATCTTAAAGCAAACAGACATTTTCAGAAACAAGTGAAGGGAATTTAGAGGGAATGTTTCCTGGTTGTTGGTGATTCTCTAGTTCCTTGCCACAAGGATTTGTTATTTGTTTGTCCCTTTAACAGTGAATGTGATGCTAAACATTGCAGCACTTAGCAATTCTACATTATGCTATTGTGGAAGCGTTAAGCTATTTTGGAATGTATTGCAGTCAAGGCATCTCCTCTCGTTGCTGCACACTTTCTTCCTGTGCTACTGAGCTGGGATCAGGAGGTGCTAGCCTGGTTAATTTGATTTTCATTCTATTTGTTGCTGCTTTTCCTACCGCGAGATGTCTGTTCCCCCGCTGTGGCTGAGATAACTAACTCAGCACGTACCAGGGATTAAACTTTTCACCTTTTGTTATTGTGAACTGTTGTAGTTAAACAAACTAATAAAACGCTGACTTTTATCTAGTTATCTTATACAGAATGAGTATTTTTACAGGGCATTGATGTATTGTACTCGTGTTCCTTATTTCCCTCTTGATGCAGCTACTGTGTTTTTAGGTGGTCTGGCCGCAACCATCGTGAGAAGATAGGGGTGCACGTCAACTTTGACCAGGTATTAAACATGGAGCCTTACTGCTTCAGGGACTCTTCCTCCACTCTTGGCAAGGAAAGCTTCATATACGACCTCTCAGCTGTGGTGATGCATCATGGAAAAGGATTTGGCTCAGGACACTACACCGCGTACTGCTACAATACAGAAGGAGGTCAGTACACTTTAAGTTTAAACGAGAAAGTGTCTTAAAGGTTCATTACTGTCGGTGTTTTGGAGGTACAGTGGCAGAATTCTTCCCCCTAGACTAAAAGCTTCTCTAGTCATTTCTGAATTCATACTGAATTAGCTGATGTCAGTTCAGCAGGTTGGATTTCTACAGTAGGTGCCAGAGTGCCCAGATGAAAAACTCTGCATCCCACTCCTGATTGCAATGCCATGTCCACTGCTCATAATAGTGTGCTTAAGAAGATAGAATCTTGATTGTGGTGCCCTCTAGTACAAACAGCCTGCCAAACTTCATTGACCTGGCACAACCAAAAAGAATTTTTTTTTGAGTGATCTCAGGGTTGTTGACCATCATCCAAAATTGGGATCAAATGTAGTAATTTCCTTCCTTATGCAGCTTCCAATGACTCATACAATGTGTCAGCCGTCTTGCCCATCTCAGCAAGATATTCCGAATTTGTAATGAGCACAGTTCTCGCCAAAGAAAATCATTCAAATTTAAGTGTGGTCATTTTAATTACTATCGCAACTGCATAAGTATCAATTATTTCCTCTGGTCACACCTCTGTGTGCTGTGAAATTGTCCATCTTGCTAGTTGAATACTGTGTGCCTCAAACTTGCAAAAAGACTATCATGCCATTCTCCCACTTTCAAGTTTGCTTCTTTCTGAATCCTGCAAGAGGAATGATGATTATTGCAGTTGTGTAGAAAATGTTTGAACTATTTGTTGCCCTTCTCTATTTTGAAAAGAATAATTTGAGGTGTGTAACTTATTGCAGTGAGGAATTTTGCTTGAAACAGCTAAACCAGGAAAGGAACAAAATATTTAAATAATCATGAAAAGTGCAAAACAATCCAATCTGTCACTCTCCTCCTCTTTCTGAAAGATTTTAAGACCTCCAATATGACATGCTTCTTCTGATCACTTTCTCAAAGATATGATGTAGGTAAGACTGGTTTAACAAAGTGCATTTAGTGGTGTGGAACAGGGCCAAACAGTTCCACAGCTCCCATCCCATAGCCCACTGACCCAGTCTAGGCATAAGATTGAAGGATGACTCTTTTTGGATAAAGTAACACAAGGCTGCTGTCATCCAAGGAAGGAGTGGCATCCGCAAGAGAGGGAAGGGGAGTGGATGAGGCCTTAGGGATTGTGGGAGAGTGCAAGTTGTATATCAAACTGTACATAATTTAATTGACATTCTCCGTTTGAATAAATATCCTGAAAATAATAAATATTTACAAGTCTGCTGTATCCTTTTTTTCCCCTCTTTAGAGTTTTGGGTCCACTGTAATGACTCTAAGCTAAATGTGTGCAGTGTGGAGGACGTGTGCAAGACCCAAGCCTACATTCTCTTTTACACTCAAAGAACTGTGCAGAACAGAGTGGGGTTTGTCACAGACATGCATTCTGAACCTCAGGTGCCAACCAGAAATACAGAGAAGAACAGGAGACTGACCTTCCCCTAGCATGGGATGCAAAAACCATTATTGGAATTCACTGAAACCATCCAGCGTCAACCAATGGGAACCATGTTGGGGCTGATCAAACACTGATGTGTTCTCATGTGGGCTACACATGCCCTAGGGCTCGTTTACTGAAGCATATATAGCCTTCCTATGCATAATATGGTAGGGTATAATTCCGTACTTGTCAATTAAAATGGTTTTTTTCAAAGTGTCCAACTGTCCCAGGTCAGATGATGTGGGCGTATACGGTATCAACGTTCTTGTTGCAAAGGTTTTTTTCTCCCCTCCAGGTAGTACACCCATTGTCATCATTCATGTTGCTGGCTGTTCTTGAGATGCAACCATATCTGATACTTGCTTTCATCCTTTAACTCCCAGAAGGTGCCTTTGTTTGCCACATGATTCACTGACTAAACACAGGTACATGTGTTTAACCCATTCTCATTGTGTACTGGATGCAGAATCGTTTATTCCCTGTGGTGCAATAGCAAGCTAAGCTTGAACTGATTCACTAATTCTGCATTTTCACATTATGGCCAGGGCTGTTTCACGTTTGCACTGATCCTTCACTAATTATTTCAGGCTCCATAGTACCAGCTATGATTTGCCACTAATGCTGCGGAACAGTAAAGAAACCACAAGAGAAATCCTTGTCCCTTTGCTCCCATTTTATGATTTTGTACTTTATTTAAGTGTAAGGACTCGTGCTGTGAAGAATTACTGACACAACACCAGTCTCATCATTGAAAATATTCACTGGCTTGTATGAAACCTAACAGGATGCTCATTTTCTGATAATGTAAATCCCTCCGTTGTGGGTCTGATAGATTCAGAACACATGATTCTTAGGAGTTAAAGCAGCCATAGTGATTCAATGCACTTCTGCTGCAAACTCTTCCTGGCTTGCGCTTTTGTCTTTGGATTTTGTATGAGGGTAGAAATTGTTAGTGTTTTCAGCCAAGCCCTCGTTTTTAGATAGTATATGCATAGCTGATCATGCAACAATAACATGGCAGCTTCGGAAATGTAAGTTACAACATTTGCAACAATTTCAAAATAAATGTGGGCGATTAAATAATTCTGTTCAATACAATCTTACGTGTGAGTATGTAGAATGTTTCTGCCAATTGTGTGACTTCCCTTTTCCACCATGTTTTGATTTAATTTTGAGAATTTTTTAGGAATTCAGATTATTCAGAACAAAACAAACGCACACACTGTTCTGCTGCCTAAGCTGCTTACAGCTAATAGGTTTGAATATATTCCCAGTTTTCAGAGCAATGTTGCCCCCCGGGCTATTGCCCACAGTGGATTGGAACAACATTGGCTGGGCAATTCCTTTGTTTGCTCCTGGAATCGAGCAAAGTTAACTAATCTTTCCCAACATAATCATAGTAGCGTCCCTAGACGAGGTGGGTTGAAAGGAAAAATGGCAAGGAATAGCCCCAGTTGCTGCTGGAAATTTGTTTCATTCATGTCAGGCATGTTCTCCAAACACAAGATGCTCAGCGCTTGTGGAACAGCACTGCAGCATGAGTCGCCCCCTTCAAAGGGAGCAGTGAGAAGGAAGAAATCAATACACGTTGTAGTACGCATCAAGTCCAGCATAATAAGCCAGAGAGAGAGAAGGGAGGGGGGGTAAGATCTGCTGCTGTCAAGTTGCTGATATGCAGACACATATGAGATGACTCGGTTTGATACATCCTACAGGAGATGGATAAAGCTGCTTGAAATATGGTGCCATTGAGTTTTAAATCTTTTTTAAATTTATCGTTGCTTTTCCAAATGAGATAGTTTATAAGGTTCAAAATCCAGCTCTCAAAATGTTCTTACGACAACACATTTTCAGTACAGGTATTCAGCTCCCAGACCGGTCCCAATGCATCACTCAGCTGGAGATCACCCTATGCCTGTGGAATGATTTTCTTCTGGCTATATTTTTTTTCTCTTTCTTCAGAGGACAGGCTGCTGTCTGTTTTTGCCATCTCCATCCAGCAGCACGGACAGTGAACTAGCAAAAGTACTCAGGAGGATGAAAGTTTTTAATGTTTGTTGAGACAAATTTGAATTCATTCTCACTTTTTTTACTTTCTTCTTTAAGTTTAGAATTTGAGGTGCTATTGCAATGTGCTGCTTTCCCTTATCCCAATCCATCCTCCCAGTTATAGATACTTGTAATCAACCTGTTCTCACAACTATGGAATAAGTGGGACTTAAACCCAGGCCTGCTAGCCTGCAGATAGGGACACTACCACTACACAAGAGCCCTACCCTCCCACTTGTAAACTTGGTGACATTGATTACTCTTTCCATCTAGATTCTGGTTCATTCGGTTGGTTGGAGATAGATCAATGCTGTCTATCACTTGCTTTGTTGATTTATAAAATGACCCAAACTGTGGTGCTTCAGAACTTAAGATATTGCATATTTAGTATGGCAGCTAACAGGGGAGGCAGTGTATATCAGTCTGTTACAGAGAGGCACTGTGTGCAAGTCTGCTTTCCACTAGCTTGCACTGCTGCAGCAACTTCAGATCCTCTATGCATATCATATAACAATGAACTGCCAACTTGTTAGCAGTTTGCAAACCATAACAACCTTTTATGTCCTCTTGGAAATATCAAAAAGCACAATTTGAGCTGTAAAAAGGGAACCAACAATTACCAATTATGTTGTTTCCATAAGCTCAATAGAATATGGTGCAGAAATGCTACTTCAGTGCCCAGAAAGGGCGGTGGCTAAGCTTTTTTATGTAACAAATTGTGTGCAGCACCTGCCTGCTCATAAGTCTCATCATGTTCATGCTGAAAGCCAGTTTACATGTATCAAAATAAAGTCAGACCCAGTCCCCACTTCTGCCCTATTGGTACCTGCTTGCAAGTTGTCACTTTGTACCATGCATCTAAAATGAATTTGAATGTTGAAAGCTATATGGGTTTCTGTAAATGAGTCCTGATCCATATTACAGTTCAAGTACAGCTCGTGTTTGGTTGAGTTATTTCCTTTTTGTCCACCTTTCAGAATTTGTGGAACTAGACAGTTATGCGTTATTTGATATCATTCTACTCTCCAGTTGTTTCGAGTGGAAAACAACCCCAAAGCACAGTTCCTGAAGGAAATTTATTTAAACACAACTCAAATAACTAACTTAAGTTTGACGTTGCTGAAAACTGAGCTTGAGATGGTGCTTTAGATTGATGATCTTTTTCATTTATCTTGGGGGAAAAACCCTTTATGCAATATCGGTGCTGAAAATTGGAGACCAAGTTAATCAACCAAAACATTATAGTTGTTACATCTACCATATGAAATAAAAATGAACATGAGATACAAACAAATTTTGCAAGCTCATAATGGCATCCAGTGATGTCTTAAATTCCCATCGCCATTAATTTTGAATAATAGAGTGGAGGATATATTAAGATGGTACCTATTTTAAGCCCTGTCATTACATTTGCTGTCCTAAACATCCACACAAGATTTCCTTCAGCACAGGGCTACCCTTAATGATCTACCGTCATGATTCCTCCTCCAATACAAACCCGACCTAAATATCCTATGCTGGTCTTCCTATATGGTACAGTTCTGGCCTAAAGAAATTCTGTCTGTGATTCCCTCATTTTATTTTATTAGCAAGACAATCTGATTGTTGTGTCTGGCCTCACAGACACCATTCCGGTTCTTTGCAGTTTCAAAGAGTGACAGATCTTTGCCATTTGTTAAGTTTTTAATTCTACATTGAAAAGCTCAGTTGTATAGCAAGGGATGATTCCATGTTACTACAAGTACAGGCAATCTGCTATAAAAACAGAAAATGCTGAAAAACACGTTAGTTCAGGCAGCATCCGTGCAGAGAGAAACAGAGTTAGTCACTCATACAACGCAGAAACAGACCCCTCGATCCAACCAGTCCATGCTGACAATGTTCCCAAACTAAACTAGTCCCACCTACTTGTGCCTGGCCCATAGCCCTCCAAACCTTTCCTATTCATGAACTTGTCCAAATGTCATTTAAATGTTGTAACTGTACCCGCATCCACGACTTTCTGTGGCAGTTCATTCTACACATGATCTATTCTGTTTAAAAAAAAATGTTGACAATCCTGCATCAGAACATGCATTTGGTTAATGCCAGCTGATTTCAGTTGGGGAACTAGGATTGACCTCAAAATCTCAAGTTATAAAAGGATAATCTGCAGCCAGGATTCCCTCTCTTTATTGCTATTCAATTTCATATGTTGGAAGTGTGTTGGGTGATGGATGGGGTTGCTTTGATTTGTGATATTTCCCATGGTCGATTTAGTCTGTTAGCCCTCAATATTATGGGGAATGATGTGAACAATGACTATTTGGGCAATGAACTGAAACTTAAGTAAAATATCCAAACTACTGAAGAACAAAATGCTGCTCTTATATATGATACATAATTTTGGAAGCAAATACTTTAAGCAATAGATTTCCAAATTGGAGCTTTAGGGAAAAAAAATACCAGTTAAGTAGCAAAAACTTAAACATAAGTTATTTATGATTTGAATTGCGAGTTCCAGTCCCAATAGAAAAATAAATCTTTCCACTTTGTCTTAAACTGTATTAAGTTCAATATGTTTTGAGAAGAGGAATGGTTACTTGCTTCATTTTGTTGACCGATGGTGGTGATGTAAGGCAGATTTCCCTAGAACAAACTGGAGGGATGTATTGAGAAATCTTTTGAAAATATCCTATCTTTGAAACATAAATGTTTCCTTAGTTTTTCCTATCAAACTAGTTTTGGCAAAAATTGCCTTGTTATTTTTTGGTGAGCTACTTCCAATCATTTAAATTTTCCTTCAGTTTCAAAATATTGAGTAAAATAAAACATTGATTTAGAGTTCAGTGGAAAAAATTTTCATTATAAAAGAAAGCAAATTTCACACTATTGAGCTAGATTATTTTCAGTGTTGTAGTCTTGTTCACTGCTGGTATCTAACTAAATTTCCAATTTTATTGACTTATGAATGAAGACAAGTTTATAAAGATGGATTTGATTTTCTTTAAGTTCTTAAAGGGTCAGTCCGATTAATTTTACAGGTAAATCCATCATTGTTTGATAATTTTGAACTAGATATGGTCTTGGTTTGGCATTTTATAATGAGTTAGCGAAGGACTGATCCATTATTGACAATTTTGTTGTGGTCTCAACTTGCTAATACTTAATCGAGAACAGTAATTGGCACTGATGCCTCATTTCTCGAACTTCAGTAAAGTGATCAGATCAGGGCAAGTTGGCACTAAGCAGTTCAACATGAGGCAAATTGATATTGTACTGCTGTGAATTGGCTCCACTCAGAAAGGTGTTTCCTTCAGCAATCGTGGTGTGTACAACTACTTTACTTGGCAGACAATGAGGGTTTTAGAAGGGTGGATAACTATTGTTTGGTTGAGGCGCTCCAGGACAGCTATTGCCTGATGACTATTCCTGACCACAACCTTAGAAAAGGGAAACCACTCGGGTGATCAGACAGTTTATTAAAACATTCTGAGTCAACAGTGACACGTAACTATTACAGACCTAATTGAATTATTGTGAGTTGGCAGTGGTGTAAACTGGATCCAGTGCTTGCTAGTGCAGACATCTACCAATACAACCTGCCACCCAATTGCAGCTCCTCCCTGTGTTTCATGCAGCTACCTCACTCGCCTGTTTTCTTAGTTCAGCAAATGACTCTGGATGGAGAGTGGTGGGGGTTTGGGAGGATTGCCTACATGGATATTGCAGCGGTACGATCTCCTAGTGAAACTGTTCAAAGCTGCCTAAGTGGATTCAGTGCATTATGACTAGATTATGGTGCCAGGTTTCAGTATAATTACGGCATTTAGGTCATAGAGCTTGTTCAGGGATTGTGTCTAAATAGTGGTCATGTATTACACATCCTGTCCACCATCGCCCTGTTATTTTGGCATATACTTAAACTGATAGGAATTTACATCTTTTTAAAAAACAAAATTAAAGATTTAATTTTACAAACAGTCTTGAAAACCAAATTTAAGGATCAAAGATCATTATTTCAAAGTGAATTAGGAAATTGAGCCTGGAATATA